TTTCCTTGGGTGAGTCATCATTGCCCTTGGGCTGTGATACACAGGGACGCTCTGAGGAGGGGCCTGTAGTGGGCAGCAGGGAGGGCTAGGGGGTCCGGGATCGAGAGAGGAAGGGAGGCTGACAACCAGCTTGTGGGCAGGGAAGGTGGTCCTCAGGGTTCCCCACCCCACACACCACGGACCCTCTTCGATAAGCCCCGAGGCCTGAGGTGGCCAGTAATCTTTCTTCAACAACACAGAAGAGCACAGGTCTGTCCCTTAAACTTGCCCCCTTGGAAAAGTAGTAATAGCCGTCTCATTTCCTTCCTTAATATCTGAACGTTTTAAGGGGAGGGGCAAAAGGAATGGCGCTGTTTGAAGCACAAAGACTAATATGCACCATGAGTGTATCATGATCATCACTATGAAACCCTAACTCTCCCCCCTCCCCCCTTAAAGCCTGTTACCTTCCCCAGCTCAGAAGGAATCTGGCCTCCCCCCCACCCACCCACTTCCTAGCTGGTTCAGTCACAGGGAGCCGAGCCTGGGGGAGAAGTGCCTCTGCAGGCCTGCCTGGCTGCCTGCCTGGGCTTCCTACCTGCCCCAGGGCGATGACAGGAGCAGGGGAGCCTTGGGACCTGCGGCTCCTGCCGGAGGCGCCTGCAATAAGTCTGTGGGGAGTTGAGAAGAAAAGCTAGAATGTAAGTTTCCTAGCAGGAGCCTTGTCTGTTTCCTCCATTCGCTGCAGGCCCAAAAAGCAGTGTTTCAAAAATACCTACAGGAAACAGAGGGTTTCAACTTCCGGCTTAGATCCTGCAGCCTCACCTCCTCCCTGGTTGGCTGGAGCCACATCGGAGCGAAACAAAGGCACCCTGGCTGTCCCAAAGATCGGAGCTGGGAGTCGACAGAGTGGTTATCTCCACGTGGTGGCCTCCGTCCACAATGACCAGAGCTACTGTGGTGTGGGGAACTTCGTGTCAGCATCACCAGCATCACCCTGACCCCAGTAACAGCCCTGCTGGAGAGGCCGCATCTCCCACCTTACAGATGTGCAGAAAGAGGCTCAAAGAGGTCAAGACCTTTCCCCAATGTCCCCCAGCTACAAAGTAGGGGAGCTAGGCTGTCAACCCAAAAGTTCAGGTGAATGTTCCGCTGAACTGAATCTCAGTCCTCTCCAGAAGTTAGCTCCCGCCTAGGCGGCACTCATCTTGCAGAAGGGAGTATCTCGAGTAACGTCACCCTGAAGTCCCCAACCCCAGGGTAAACCCCCCACCTCCCACCACACACCCAGGCACAGTCAGGGTTTTTTTTGTCACAGCTTTGGCCTAGTGGCCCTGACCACAGGCAGCACAGCCCTTAGGACATAAGCCTCCTTTGGTCAAATGGAGATTCTAAGAAGGTGTCTAACCTTGGCTAACTCACACTAGAAAAGGGGCATAGAAATTATTTGGAGTCCCTCCCTGACAAGCACTGCTCTCGGTGGTCATTTATATAACATCATGCTCTTTGGGTCTCCCAGTGTCACTGTGGACTAGGCAGGGCAAGTATTCTTATCTCCAAACTCAGGTTCAGAGATGTTGAGTGACTTGCCCAAAGTCACACAGCTACTCCATGCCAGAGGCAAAATTAAAACCCTAATTATCCATGCACACCCTATGATTCTGGCTCATTCTCTGGGATTCAAAGAAAGACCAATATGAAGTTTACCATCACCTTCCCTTTTCAATACAAATGTGGTATTTTCAATACAAATGTGGTATTTTCAATACAAATGTGACTGTGTCTGCTTGAGTACCCTGAAAGTGCCATCCCGCTGCTGGCTTTGCCAACCCCTTTTCAGATGGGGAAACTGCTCTCCAAAGAGGAAGGGGCTGGGCCCATCCTGCAGGGAGGGGAACCGGGAAGGGATCTGGGCCCTCCTGATGTCCATTCCAGAGCCCTGAGCACCCCATCACTGTGGCAGGTACAGCACCCTCCTTGGCTGCAAGACTCACCCCCACCCTCACAGCTTCTGTGGGCGGCAGGTGTGGCTGGAGGTAGGACAGGACTTCCCCATTGTCTGTGATAAAGTGGGAATGGATTTGCACACCCTCCAAAGAGGACCCGGCAAGTAGTAGGGCCACAGCTTTTGTTTCAAATTTGCTTTTTCAACTTTTAAGCCACTGTGGCATTTGGGAACAATTTTGGTAACTTTTTTCCTAAAATTAAGTTGAAGTGATTTTCAAAACCAATCATCGGCTTGGAGGACACCCCACTTTGGTTTGCAGGGGGTGGGGGCATAGAGAGCCAGGGCAGTCGGGAGAAGAGATGTAACCCTCAAATGAACAAATGATGTGACAACACAACAGCTTCCCAAAACAGGCTCACCTGCCCGCAGGGAGAAGGAACTATCTCCTGAGCAAGATGGAATCCCACCTGGACAGGGCCCTTTAAATGAGATCATTGCACATGCAAGTAACTCCCTCCGAGGCCGCAGACCCCTGCAGGAGAGTGACCCCCATCTCTAGCCCCAGGTGCAAAGAACTGAGGGAGACCAACAGGGCTCGGCTCCACGCCAGGCTGCCTGGGTCCACCGGCCAAGAGCATTGCCAAGTCGCAGGGTGAACTCTGCAGCAGGCGGAAGTGGCCCATCTCGGCCGTCTGCAGGTCTCCAGGGGCTTCTTCAGGGCTGAAGGACTAAAAATAACTCGGCCTTTGTTGTAAGCAGCGGACCACAGAGACGGAGCTGACTTCAGGGGAGCGGAGCATGCGCGAGGGTCCCGCTCAGCGAGACCTGCCCTTTGGGCAAATGATTTTCCCAGAAAACTGTCAGTTGTGCGCTGCTGCTGTTGCCACTGCCTGTGAGATTCAAAGACAGCCCAAGCTGCTCAAGCCTACAGGGTGGCCTTCCAACACAGACTTCTCGAAATCTGAGCCTCTTTCTTCTTGATCCATTAAAAAAAGAAAAAAAAAAGTCCAGTCGGTACCGGGAAGCTTAGGAGAGAAAAGCGGCCCTTGAGCCGAGGCTCTGCAAGGCCGCCACCTTGGTCATGAATAATCCCATCACCCCAGTTATTGTCTAGGTAACGACAATCTGTCCCCAATCCTAAAATTTCCAGAGTCAGGTCTCAGGACACAAGGGCAGACACACACTTGGTGGAAGGAAGAATTACTTGGGAAAGGGAATTCGTAGTGTCACATCAATACTGAAGGGTTTCTCGAAGGGGCAGTCCTTTTTACCTTTTTACCAACATTTAGATTTTCGACTGTGTAGGCTTCTTCACTCGCCTTCCTGGTTCTTGAACCACCAACACCCCCTCACCCCCCCCCCCCCCCCCCCCCCCCCAGGAAAGCGGGTTGGGAGGCAGAGTCTAACATCTTTCTCTGCCAGCGGCTGTGGCTTGTCTCACCTCAAGGATGCCCCAGTTCCGCGGGTGAAGGAACCGCCCAGCAGAGCCGCTCCTGATGGTAACAAATACTTCTTGGCTGTTGCAGGGCCTCACAACTGTCTCCAGAATGTCTCCTCCCGCCCCCCAGGGCCTCCACCTCCCTCCCCAGCCCCATGCACAGACCACCCTGGCTGTGATGCCACTGGACATCTGCCCGGTCCAGAAGGCAGCTCTTCCTCTTCACACAGACCAGGAACAAGGAGGGACTTTCACTGTCAAGACGGCCTCCAGGCTCTGGGTCTAGAAGTTTCCAGAGAGGCTTCCTCACAGCCCTTTGTTCCTCGGCTGACTTCAGGGTGAAGAGCCTAAGCTGGAGGCTGGAGGCAGGAGGCTGGGAGAAGATTTCTTAGAAGACAATAGGTAGAAACAGCACACACACGAGTAACAGATGGTGGGAACCAGTGAGAGGGCCGCAGTGCTGGGCTGTTCTCCAAAAGTGCAAGATCCTTCTGGTTGAAACAAGGCGGGCGGGCTGGAGTGTGGAGACCTGTGTGTGGGAGCTACGTAGACAGCTTGCCCTCTTGGTTCCGCGTGTCACGCCCTCTGGTTACTGGCTTTGCTCACAGTTGGTCTGTCTGGATACATGGGAGTAGGGGCTCAATCGGCTTTGAACTGGGCTCTGGTTCAACCTCTCCAGCAGCAAGTCACCTGCGGTGACCCGGGGCCCTAGGCTTGGCAGCCGAAGGCCGAGGCTTTTTCTTTGAGCAGTTCCCAGCACAAGTGGCAGCTCCAGCTTCCTACAAGAAACAAGACGGCATGACCAGCGGCACCTCTCCCAACCCTCAAGCCCCACCCTGGGCCCTCACTTCTTCTAAGCCCTGTTTTCTTTGGACTTTCACAATTCAGAGAGCGAATCCCAGTGCTGAAAACGGGCTGGAGTCTGCAGCTCAGGAGAGCAAGTGCTGCTCAGAAAACCACAAGTGCTCAGGGAGGACCAGCTGAACTGTTGGAAAGACCCTCCCTCCTTGGTCCTGCCTCGTAACCAGCATCCCCAGGCCTGGCCAGCTCCCCTGGAAGCTCCACCTCCCACCCTCTCAGCCACATGTCTGGGAAACATCTCTCCGGGCCTCAAGTTGAAATTTCAGGTGGTCGA